ATCCATACAAACACCTACCGCCACGAAACGAAATCATCCCTATGACCATGACATACAGATACAAACCAACCACCAACGACCCAACAGCAGTCACTAGGAAAGCACAATGCTCAGTGCGCGGCGACCTCATGATTCCGGACATCCATTACAACCCACTCAAAGTTGCCACATACATGGCAGAAAAGTCAACCGTACGCATCATTTTCGCATTAGCCGCAGCGCACGACATGCACCTTGAACACTTCGACATCACGGGTGCATATTTGCACGAAGCGTATGACCACACAACGCCGGTATATGTCTGGCAACCCAAACGGTTTGACGGTTCTTACAAGCACGAAGCTGCCGCAGGGCAGCTCAAAGGCAACATATACGGCACCCCACCAGCCGCCCATACGTACTCAACCAAACTGTACCAACACCTCAAACAGCACGGATACACCCAAACCAAATCCGATCCTTCCCTATTCTTCAAGCGCATACGCAACGACATCATTCTCATCGCAGTAAGTATGGACGACTTTTTGGCAGCTGCCAGCACCACAAAGCTGAATGACGAATTCCACAACACACTCCAAGTCAAATACAAAGTCAAAAGGCTTGGCAAGCCAACATCGTACCTCAATTGGAATATCTCATACACGCCAGCAGGCATTCACGTCTGCCAGCGACAGCACATCCAGCACGTAGCGCAATACCTACACATGGAAGAAGCCATACCACATCAAACGCCATACGCAAACGGTGCCAGAGTAGACCCACCAACACCGAAAGAAACTGCAGATGACAAAATCACCGCACCATATCGTGCAGCACTTGGTGAAATCCGCTACATTGCGGACTGCAGCAGACCAGACATCAGTTACGCCACAGCAGCGCTAGCACGAGCAACAAAATGTCCCACTCAACGCCACTGGAACTTCCTCAAAAGGACCGTCAGATACCTCATCGGCACAGAGAATCACGGTTTACTGTTCCCCCAACACAACACGGCACCCCTCCTCATAACATACGCTGACGCTGACTTTGCCAATGACCCCGTCTCAAGGAAGTCCATCTCCGGTTCAGTATACCAAGTGCACGGCGCCACAGTGCACTGGCGTTCCAAGCAACAACCACTGGTAGCCCAGTCCACGTGCGAGGCCGAGTATATAGCAGCCGCCGAAACTGCGCAAGACACCATCTGGCTCCGCAACATGTTCACAGAGTTGGGATACACACAATAACAGCCCACCACCATGTGCATAGACAATGCTGCAGCAATCACCATCGCGCGCAATACCGCACGGACAAAACGGCGCAAATGTATCGACATTCGCTACCACCTCCTGCAAGACCTCACACAACACCAAGCGTTGTCCCTCAAACATGTGCCAAGTCGGCGCATGTACGCCGACATCATGACCAAACCACTGAAACCCGCACTGTTCGAAGAACACCGATCCAACCTTGGGATATACCCAAGCAGCAAACAAGTCCACTTCCAACCAGACCCAACGCTCATTGACCCGCAAACCGCGCGTCAGGGGGACTGTGATGACCCACAAAATGAAGATCGGCGACGCGCGATTCACGGGCCAATCGCCCCATCCGCCCCCAAAGATACAGTAGCAGGTGATGACCCACAAGCCAGGCCACAGGCCAGGCCACACCAATTGCCGTATGTAGCGCCACCAGAACAGAATAAAAGCTCGCCGTCGCTCGGCCCGCTGGCGCGAGACGGGCGGGGGCACGAGGCTTACTTCGTCACAGGCAGCATCAGCAAGAGTCGTCAGCCCTGCTAGTCCATCACTTCCCTTGTTTCCATCCCTGACAAAACTCTCTTTGTCAACCCCAGATCTGACCGTATCTGAAATATTCGTCTTGCTCCGTTTACGAGAGCGCTTCTCTGCTTGAACATTCAGCTTTCTCTGTGCCCTCGCTGCAGCCTCCGCGCGTTTTTAACTGCCCTTCTCGCCTTATCGGCTTCTTTCAGAGCACGCAAAGCCCTTTTTTCTGCAATGGCA